CGTCTTTCGTACGGACGCTTTATTCTAGCTCCCCTTATGAAAGGTCAAGCCGACACAATAGGCATTGCGATGCGAAGAGCTTTGCTTGGAGAAATAGAAGGAACATGTATTACACGCGCAAAATCTGAGAAAATACCACATGAATATTCTACCATAGTAGGTATTCAAGAATCAGTACATGAAATTTTAATGAATTTGAAAGAAATTGTATTGAGAAGTAATCTGTATGGAACTCGTAACGCGCTTATTTGTACCAAGGGCCCGGGGTATGTAACTGCTCAAGATATCATCTTACCGACTTCCGTGGAAATCGTTGATCATACACAACATATAGCTAGACTAACAGAACCAATTGATTTGTGTATTGAATTACAAATCGAGAGGCATAGAGGATACGGTATAAAAACGAAAAAAAACTTTAACGACGGAAGTTACCCTATAGATGCTGTATTCATGCCCGTTCGAAATGCGAATTATAGTATTCATTCGTATGGGAACAGTAATGAAAAGCAGGAGATACTTTTTTTAGAAATATGGACAAACGGAAGTTTAACTCCTCAAGAAGCACTTCGCGAAGCCGCCCGGACTTTGATTAATTTATTTATTCCTTTTTTACATGCAGAAGAAGAAAAAAACTTTAATTTAGAAAACAATCAACATAGGGTTACTTTCCCCTTTTTTCCTTTTCATGATAGATTAGCTAAACTAAGAAAAAATAAAAACGAACTTGCATTGAAATCGATTTTTATTGACCAATTAGAATTGCCTCCTAGGATCTATAATTGTCTCAAAAAGTCCAATATACATACATTATTTGACCTGTTGAATAACAGTCAAGAAGAACTTATGAAAATTGAACATTTTCGTATAGAAGATGTCAAACAAATATTGGACATTCTAGAAAAGAAGTAGACAAATTTTTCGAATTTGATTTCCAAAAAAATGAAATGATTTGGAACCTTCAGCACAATCCATCTATTAACACCAGAATTTAATAAATAGATCTAGGGAGAATTCACTTTAACAAGTGACTACTCCCTAGATACGCACGTCAGAAAATTTTACAATTGAATCAATTTAAAAAAGACCTAAAGTCAGGGATTTATCAATCGGTAACGTTGCTCCAAT